CAAAAAAAAAAAAATAATAAACCACGGGTAAACCTAGAACCGCGCTCGGCCCATGGCCGCGCGGTTAATAAATGTACATACCACGGAAAGATGTAGGCATTGAAAAACGGAGAAATAAAATAGCCTTTAACAATGCCCTACCTCCCGAGATAAGCTCTTTTATTAAAATTGAATCATCGGATAATGCAATTCGAGAGTTTTGATTGGCTTAATCATCATGGGTTGTGAGCCATTATAATTTATGGATTTAGCCAAGCCTAAAAGCGGAGCTCATGGGCCGGGTTGTTCAAAGCCCGATTAAGATAACCCGGGGTAAGCGAGAATTCTGTATTTGAATTTTGTAACTTTGCAGTGAGATTTTCTGTTTATTGTCTGGCCTTCTGTTCTGAGTTTGAATAATCTCAAAGTACACATAACAAAACCAGTGACAAACATTTGTATACAAGAACTATTTATACTTCTGTTAACTTAAATCCTGGTTAGCGTTAACTGGCTTCCGAACAACCCGGCCCCGTTTACAACAAGTTAATTTGACATGAGCCCGCGATCCAAAAGAAAACTAGCACTTGGTCAGCGGTCAACTTGAAAAAGAAAACAGGTGACCTCAATGAGCTCTAAACTTGAGCCCGCGATGTGGTCACGATACTGGTCAGCGGATACCTTGATTTGACGGGTGTCAATTGACCATAATATGGATATATAATCTCAAAGGAGGCTATAAATCAAGACTGTATATTTCTGTCAACCTTTAAGCTTAGCTGGAGAATAGCCGCCATCTTGCGCGACTCACCGCCGTCACCGTCGTGTGCACGCGCCCACGAACAAAACCGCTAGCCACGATAACTATAAGAAAATCCATTCATGGATTTCCTTTTCATTCCTATATGAATATGGGGCTCCGCTTGGCGGCCCTTCGGGCCACCGGAGCTCCGCTGCCACGCTCTATAAATTTGGTAAGCGTGCGTGTGATTTTTTGGGGCGTTTAGTTTTTTATATTTTAGGGACATTTTTAATAAAACAATTATTTCACTCGCGCTTGTTGGATATGAGATTGATTACAGCAGATGCCCTACCCTGGGGCAGAAAAACTTACCAAATGCCCCACAAATACCCACAGTGGTGGGGGCCCGGGGGGGATGAAGGGGCTTGAAATTGGCACCCCAGGGTTAACTGTATGCGTGAAAAAGACCAGACTTTTACTAATTTCTATGAGTGGCGCATCCAAATATTACAACAGTTAATTTGATAATTACGAATAAATTTTCAGTGAGGTATCGTAGGTAAATTTACCACGATAAAGGTTGATCATTCATTACATGCTATTTATGAAATAACTATTTTCTTTTCATTACCTTTCATTTCAGGTCTCGTGGTCTGGTCGTTTCTATTTTTCTTTCTGTTTTTTGTACCTGCATTCTTACTTGCTTACACAGATAGAAAAAGGCTAATCTCGTGGGTTGCAGGAAGATCTATGTGAGTTTACAAACTCTATGAACGTAATCTGTAACCATAAAAAGCTCTATTCTGGGGATTTAGGGATCGTCCACACTACGCCGGAGAAATTTGAAAACGACGTTTCCCCTCTGAAAACGCATCGTATGTTTTCCGTCAACACTACGCCGGAAGAATATGAAAGCGCAACAATCACCGGCCATTTTGGATTTGTGTTTGAGGAAAACTCGGGCAGGAAATCGCATCATTATTGTGACGTCATCTTTTCGAAAAGCTCCGTTTTCAAAATGTTTTCTGTTGACACTAAACGGCTAAAACGCAAAGCCGCGTTTTCAAATTTCTCCGGTTTGAAGAGCGTTTTTGAATAGCCCCGTTTTCGTTACGGATTAGTTTGGATGGTAGGCCTAACGGTCGAATTCAAATTTCTCAGGCGTAGTGTGGCCGTGGCCTTAGTCTTTTTGAAGGCCTTTTGAAAGGAGAGGGAGGCGCGGTGGGCTAGTGGTTAGTGCGCTCGACTCCTGATTGAGTGGTCTTGGCTCGAGCCCTGGCCGAGGACGTTGCGTTGTGTTCTTGGGCAAGACACTTTACTTTCACAGTGCCTCTCTCCACCCAGGTGTATAAATGGGTACTGGTGAACACAATGCTGGGGGCAACCCTGTAATGGACAAGCATCCCATACAGTGGGGAGTAGAAATACTCCTAGTCGCTTCATGCTACTGAAACGGGACGTAAGCGCTGGCCTCCTTTTTACCCTTGAAAGGAATGGGTGATGAGGGGAAGGGGGTGGGGTAACGTATGCATCTGAACTCCTAAATCAGCTAGTCTGCATGGATGTAAAACAAAGCCATAATTGATCTTACAGGGACTTTCTGTGGTAAGTACAGTATATATTACATAATGTTTTTTTTTTGTTCTACTAAATAACAACCTCAGGCCGGAGGCGCGGCAACAACAACAAAAAAAATTGAAAAAGTAAAGAAAAAAATCCGCATACACCGCAATACCGCAGTGAGGTAAAAGCGAACCGCGACACGACTTCTTATAGCTGTTGTAAAATTAAACAATCAGAAAAAATTATTAAATCAAATATCATCTTGTACTATTCAAAGGCATTTATCCTCACGTTACATATTATTAGCTTGTTTTCGAAGCGAGCAAAAATCCGCGAAATGGCCGGCTAAGAAAAAAGTGAAGGATAACGTCGACCAAGACGCTAAGAAACACCTTCCTTGGAGAGCACCGCCATACCGCAATTTGGGTTTTAAAATTACCGAAATACCTTCTGAGAATCGTTAATCTTGAATCTTATTTTACACACGGTGAAAAATTCATCAAGATTTACAAACACAAGGAATATATCCTAGCCGTGCTTTGCCAATGAGGGAAACTCGGAGTGGAGGCGGTGCAACAAAAACAATTAAATAGCCAACAAAGTCAATACCGCAATACCACGAACCGCCATGACACCTTTTTTGCACACTTAGCATGGCAGTGTTGTAACTATAGTTCTCATTTTGCTTCGTGTTGTTTTGCTTTCTACTCATATAGACTTCAGGCCGTATGTTCTCTTGCAGACCATCAGCTGTTATGGCGTTTTTCCTGTGGACGTTTCAACGTATTTTCCTCTCCCGTTGGGTCTTTCGCGACAGAGATTTCCCGAATTTCACTGTCACTATTGACAATCGGTAAGTGTTCTTTTTTGAAGAATTTACTCCTTCCTCAGGTCTTATATTTACTTCATCATACTTGCTGCCTGAAAAATTTCGGGATGTTCATATCAAGATATCAGCACTCAATACTCCGCCAGACTTGGGACTTGCCGCTTTGATAATTAACAATTAGACCCGTAGCCCTTACGGGCTACGGGTCAATAGCCCATGAGGCGAAGCCAAATAGGCTATTGAACCGTGGCCCTTTAGGGCGAAGGGTCTAATTGTTTATGTATCACCCAACTAGTCGGACAGAAAAGGCAATAATAAAGTTAGCAAATGCAAGTTGAAGAAATACTTATTTGGGATTAAAACGAAAGAAAGCGTCACGCTCGATTACGCCAATTTCGCTACTCGAGGACTATTACTAATAGTTCTCTAGTAGCGTAGCAGGATTTGCATTGGCCTTCTTTAGCAAACGAACTTACTTTATTCAACCGGCTGTTCTCTGACACAGTCGTATTTTAACTTCACTTATGGTCAGTATGTTACCTTGAGTAAATAAACGCCTTGTGCAGCTTTTCCCTTGTGTCCATTCTTTTTATTTACAGACGGCTGTTTTCTATAATCTCTTACGCGTTCGTTTTCCTCAACGTCATTGTGGGTTTGTTTTCATGCTTGTTACGTGTAATAAAAGGAATGATACTGGGGCTTTTCTTCTTACCTCGCCTCGACCGAACTTGTTTAATGCAAGGATTTCAGAGATGGGACAAAGGTACGTATTTCCGTGTGTTAAATAAGAAATCCTCTTATTATTGCATCTCTGCACGCAGGAAGAAAACAAGTGTTTAAGATTCTTTGCGTATTTACCCTTCGTTTGAAGGATTTTCCTCCTGTCTTGTAACATTATTGCCTGATAATGAGGTATTTGGCCGATGGTATCAAAAGTGCAGTGGAAAATTTCACAGTCAGGTCTTACCCTATAAGTACAAGTAGTTGGTCCTTACACTATTCTTATTGTTAATGCATATGTTCGAAGTTACCACCAAGACATTCATGTGGCAAAATCACTTTGCAGCTCATAAACTTGGAGGAGTGGTGGCCGAGGGTTTACCACTTTAAGCTCTGGATAGCGCTCAGCCTGTCTGAGTTCGAACTCTTTCCGAAATAGGGAAACAGAGCTTTAAGGTCGAAAGTTTTATCGGCGAGGAGACTCTGCAACACAGTTCTTCTCTTCACCGATTTCTTTAAAAGGGTACCAGCGAATTAAACGTTGGGGACAACCTTACGATGGACTAGTGTCCAATTCCATGGACTAGAAATACTTCTAATTATTTCATGCTACAGCAACCGGAGACCGGGTGGGATATAAGCGCAGGACTAATGACCACCAGCTAGATTCGAACTTTGCTTTTACCATACACTGTTTTGATATTTCAGAAAGTATTGCTTTCTAGAAAAGAAAAGAATGTTACACTGTTAAAGGGGAAGGTCATTTCAAAAAGCGTAGTTTTTCGTCTCTACCTATAGCAAGGAAACATTATGTTTTTCCACTCACCGAAGTTTCAACCTCTAAAAGACCTGCCATCCTGAAGAAATGCGTCTCAAAAGAAGCCTGAAATTCAACTTTGGACGACGTCATTTTGAAACTACTTGGCAGCCAGGTCGTGTTTATGTAACGTCATTTCGTGCGACTTGAAATTGGCGGAAAAACAAAAAACTGCAACTGACTTGGCATCCTTCACAAGGTCAGCAAAATGTTTTGTTTTTTTGTTTTTTTTTCAACCGATTATCCACTCGATTATCTTCACTGCTATCATTTTCTGGGTTTGGGGCACGTTTGGCTCAAAATAATGCGGCGTAAGAGCACCCATGACCTAGGGTGGTAGTTAAAAGGCTTGTCGGAAGGTAGGAAGCCATGGACAAAATCCCTTGGACGGAATGACGTCACGAAAACGCGGCCAGGCTGCTGAGCATTGTTCAAAATGGCCATAACGATGTCGAATTTTGGGCTTCCCTGGAGACGAATTTCATAAAGGAAACCAGCACTTTAGAAGCTGAAACTGCTGCGAGTAGCTAAACTTAGTGTGCGAGTTTTTAATTTGTGTTGACAAAAATATTGCGTTTTTGGAGTGACCTCCTTTACAGAAATGTTACAATAGTCCTTTTAAAACCTTCGACCTTTAAGCGCTATTTCCCTTATATTTTGGCTTCTTGAACAGGTTTTGTTGCGTACCTTGGTTTTGTCACTGTACTGGTCGCCCACAGACACCCCGTGATGTTGGTGTTCTGTCAGCTGCTGATAGACAGAAACAAAGTACAACAGCCAGATAAAGAGACCGAGTCACGTATGTAACCATGACACTCATTATCGTTTTATACTTTTTGTTATTCGCAGAGTTTCTGCTAGATTTCCTGATTATTGTGCGGTTACCGTACCATGGAATTCTCGGGGGTGGNTAGATATTTACTTTATTCAAGTTTCTCTGTCGAGTATCCTCGTCCAACTGCTTGTTTGTCGTACCTGCGAAATTCTGTTGGGGTGCGAGTACTCCCTTATATGGGCTATATAAGTATGTGCGGCCCCAAAGGGTATGGTTTTTCAGCCGTTTTTGTCATAAATAGGATGTCTATGTTGGTTATAAATAGGGTATGGTTTTTGCACTCTAGTCTTGAATTGGATGTTTTTGAAGTGCCACTATGATCAAATTCTCGATAGCCATTTTTTTTTTTTTACATTTTCGTACACAATAGGTGTTTCCTAGATATCTTGCGAAATTTCATTCTATTACTAACATTAGAACTCACGTTTTTTGGGGCCTTTATTTTCGAGAATTGACGGTCGCCATTAATTTTCCTTGTTCCAAGTCTTGGTTGAAAATTGGATTAAATGACATCATTTTCTCAAAAATACTACACGGGTTGAAATTATACTAACAATTAGTACAACAATTCGCATAACGAATAACAAAAACTTTGGCTTTTATATTGGTGCAATTTACTATACTAATTGTTTTTATTATTCAAATAAAGCTAAATCTTATAGCAGTGGACTAACGTATCGTGGCGTGTAAATTAATTAGTTTATTCAAATGAGTCAGCCAGGTAATCAATATGGCAAATCGGAGCCTGTAAATTAGCCTTACAGATATTAATAGTTTCAAGCGGTTTTTTTTTTTTACTTGAGTCTTGGGGGAGGGGGGAGGGGGGACTCCCATATAAATATGACGGGGGGTGCTCGTCGTACCTTTTAGGGGTTAAAAACACGGTTTTGACACCTCTCAGGGTGTTTAGCCTCAAAACGTCCACAGCGCGCGGGAGCTTTCGCGGTACCATTTAAGGTATTGAACCAAAAAAATATAACAGGAGATAAGGTGTTATGTAAGAATTGGTATCTCTTAGAGGGAAAAAAATTCAAGCCACACCCTCAAAACAGGATCTTGGTACCTCTTAGGGGTTCTTTTCAAAATTTCTAATGAGCACCCCCGTCTATTTTATANCCCCCCTCCCCCCGCGAATTGAGTGCCGTAAATCGAAATCAAAGTAATTTCTTTGGCGAATCACAGACAATCCAGCGAACCAATAAAATTTAAACCCAAAGCAATTACATTTAGCTGACCCAAAGCGCGAGAAAATGTGTGTGAGCGAGCCACGAATGGTTTTGGTTTTACTTCTGATTGGATGAGAAAGTGGTTTGAGTATTTTAACCTCATCGCCTAGTATGGTCGTGCAAAGCCAATTTGTATTACACGACTATTCATTCATTCAACCCTTGAACGTGTTTGTGATTCATAAGAACAAGTCAAAGATGTTACCTTCTAAACACTTTTGACACAGAAAATCCAAGCCATGTCAAGGAAGCTAAAGGATCTGCAGGTGTGTAACATTCGTGCTGAATTTCCCTTAGTTTGTAATAATTAAGCAAAAAATTGAATAGTCTCGCGATAGAGTGTGCTTCACTTTGATGATGCGAATAGTGCGGACCTGTATGAAATATAAAAAGGATGTGTGTGCTCTTCGTTCCTTTTAGGGGTTAAAAAAGTGGTTTTGGTATGTCTTAGGGTGTTCCGCCTCAAAAAGTCCACGGTGGAAGCTTTGCGGTACCTTTTAGGGTGTTGAGCCGAAAAAAATATGACAGCAGATAATAACGCTTTTATCGATCGATAAAACGCAGTTAATGGAACATGACACCCCTTGAGGGTTAGGCTGTTTTCGTTCGTCACGCAATCCAGTAGGGTAAACATGAATGAACGTTCCCCTATTCTTGTAGTCAGCACAAACACTTACGGTCGGTCCGTATGGTAAAAAACTGTGACCGAGGTATCGAAAAAAGCTGGACCGGTCACGTGCGTATGATTAGCCAATCAAATTCGAGGATTTAGGATTCCGGCCCGCTCAGATGCTTGAGAAAAAAATAAAGTAAAATATCTTAGCTTCTCCTAGATTGGCCCATATATTTGTTAACCCCATTCATTGCTAACAAGCACGCCACGTTGCGCCTATTTAGTTCATAGTATAGCTGTAACTGTTAGTCGAACTATGAGACACTGTCTTGCTATATAAATTTCAATACACTGTCAGAAGGCATTATCCTGGCAGCTTGGACGAGAGTACACAGTTTGTAACAATTTAGCTGTAAAATTTCCCACCCTCACTCCCTTGGAGAAGGGCTTTTATTTGTTATTTGCCATAGACTGGGGTCACTCCTTGTGGTTCGGTTAATTGTACGTAGCGACTTCCCCCAAGCTTTGGCATTGCGTGTGTCGTGCCATATTGTATCTAGCCTTTATCTTGTCCGATCGAGCCTGTGCTTTGCTGAGGAGATAAGAAGGGCTCTGACCAGGAAAATGGGGCAGAATACCGGAGCGAAATAGTTCTGCATTTTTATCAACCTCTTGTACTTCACCCATTGGGCGCCATTTTGAATTTCATCCAAGCGAAACGTGACGTCACACTGGCAGTGATGATTCAACAATGTTTAACTTGGAGACGCCCTCTCCCTCCTGGCTCTGACGATACTCTTGTTCTATTCCCACGTTGGAGGGGGAATAACCTGGTTGCGTTACATTCTACACTTGGTAACTCTTAGGGGCGAAAAAATTAAAGCCTTGCCCACAATACAGGATCTTGGTACCTCTTAGGGGTTCTTTTCAAAATTTTCGACGAGCACACACGTCTTTTTTTATACGGAAGCCCCCC